TGGGTCCTGCGGCGAGCTGGGTCCTGCGGCGAGCTGGGCCGCGGCGAGGTGGACCCTGCGGCGAGTTGGACCCTGCGGCGAGTTGGACCCTGCGGCGAGTCGGCCGCGGTGAGTAGGGTCGCGGCGAGCTGGTCGCGGCGAGTTGGGATGCTCCGCAATTTCAGCGCAGCTCCGATAAGTGCTCGGATCCGATTTGAGCGCGGATTCAATTCGAGCGCGGATCCAATTTGAGCGCGGATCCAACTTGGGCGCGGATCCAATTTGAGCTCGCATCCAATGCAAGCGCAACCGATTCGAGCGCAGTCAATTCGAGCGCAGTCGATTTGAGCGCGATCAGTTTGAGCGCAATTCAGACTCGATCGCGCTTCTGACTGGAGAGAGCCGCGGGTCTCGATCGAAGAAATCGAAACAAAAGACTGCCCGAAATCGATCCGGTAGAGATCATCGGCATCATGGTTCTCGCGATTGACTTTCCCCTTTCCCGCGATTCTCGGTTTTCCCGCATCTGAGCCGACATTCAATCGTTTCAATCGTTGAATCGTGAATCGTGAAGTTGAATCGTGGGAGATCGACTCCGCGGCCATGTTCGGTTCTCTACTCCTTATGATCGTAGTAGTGGCGCCGATTTGATTCGCAATCAGGGCAATCAAACGCTGAATTTCCCGTGACAAGCGAGTTCCTCATCCACCAACGGCAGAGTTCTGAGTTCGGAATGCCCTTCGAGTTCCTTTTATCGACAAGAGGAAAGCCTCTGCTCGCCGTGGAAGGTCAACTATACCGACAGGACCGTCGGAAGTGGCGCTGTCTCAAGACGGACTGTGATGCGCGAATCGAGCTCATCGATGGGAAACTCGGGGTAGGTACAGCTCGCTTGTCTCTTTTGAGGCGATACTCTCAATTCCGAAAAAAAAATGACGTCTCAATTCCGCACAGACCATCCCAAATCATGTACATTCCCCTGACAACTTCGAGATAGCAGTACGAAGAAAACTGAACGAGCTCCAGAAGTCAGCCGAGACCGCTCGCAGCGAAAGCTCGGCCTCAAACCTCGTGGAAAACATGATCGCTTCGCTGACGTCGGATGCGCTCTTAGGTCGCCTGCCGAACCTGAATCTTTTAAGAAAACAAGTGACCTATGATCGAAAGAAAAACGAACTGAATGTTGGGATATCTCGCAATACTCGAGCCGAAATCAGAATTTCTGAGTCGAATACGATGACTTTGAAGCAGGAATCATCCCTGCACTTTGACTCAGGACCTGAAGATCCGAACAAGTTCATCGTGTTCGCGACAGCATCGAATCTTTCGCTGCTTCGTGAATGTCCGGAATAGCTTTTGGGCGGCACGTTTAAAGTCTCTCCCCTAATGTTCACCCAGCTCTACTCCATTCATGTCAAGCTCTTCGACGGAAACGTAGTCCCCGTAGTATACGCTTTGTTGCCCGACAAAAAAGCTTCGACATTTGGTCGTTTCGTGGATGTTATCGTAGATTCTTCAGACGGTTGGGACCCACAGGCTATTCACGTAGACTTCGAATTGGCAATGATAAGGCAATTGGAAGCAGCGTTCCCTTCGGCTGGAATTGTAGGATGCGGCTTTTATTTCGTCCAGGCGCTCTGGCGACACATACAGTCTCTGACACATACGCAGAACTCAGAGAGAAGTATATGAGTTCGGATGATTTCGCCCTCGAAATGCGCATGTTCTCAGGCCTCGCTTATGTCCCGCTCGAGGCTGTCGAGGAAGTTTTCGGAATTCTACTCGAATCCGACTTCGTGAAAGCGAATACCGAGTTGTTAGCAAAATTCATCGATTATGTTGAGGCCACATGGGTTGGTAGGCATCGTCATGCGCCATTAATGAGACACGATTGGTGGAACTTGTATCAGGTGACTCTCGACGGCATGAGTCGCACGACCAACGATGTCGAGGGATGGCACTCAGCTTTCTCCAGGAGGCTGGGTGCGAAACACCCGACATACTCAAAACTTTTAAAGGTCTTGAAGATTGAGCAAGCAAAAACTGAATTTACGATCACGAACTCTCAGGCCCAGGGCCGCGCGAAGGAGCCGAAAAAAATTTATCGAGATCGTTCCAAACGATTGAAAGAAATTGTCGAGTCTTATCCCCGGCGAGATCCCCCGAGTTATTTGAAGACGATCGCGCATAACATACGCTTCTGATGCGTATTCCGGTATCATTCTTGTCTCCTTGATACCTTGAGATATAGGAACGATCGTGTGTACCTGTGTCGAAATATCATTGACTCGGAGACATTGTGAACAGATAGTGTAAGCGTCTCCCAAATAAATTAAGCGATCTTTCGCAAAGACAGAGAAGATCGCTCTTTTTCATTCTCTTTCCAGAAGCCGGGCTGGAGTTTCTTCCTCTTGTGTTCGACTGAGAATGCCGATGCGCGCAAGGCCGGCATTGCGCTCAGACGGATCGCGCTCAAATTGGCTGCGCTCGAATTGACTGCGCTCGGATCGGTTGCGTTTGCATTCGATGCGAGCCCGAATTGGATCCGCGCTCGAATCGGATTCGCGCTCGAATTGGATCCGCGCTCAAATCCGATCCGCGCAATTATCGGAGCTGCGCTGAAATTGGGGCGCACCCTTCGATAGAGGAGGCTTTCACGAGCATTTTGAGACCAAGCAGAGCAAAATCGGTCGATCCATTCAGTTTTTATTCGCAAAAACATTGAAAATTTGAAAACGCCTTAAAGTCGGAATTCGTCTGTTCCGACTTTTAAGCTTCGAATAGATAGTTCAGAAGCTCCGTTCCGTGAGCAGACAGAAACTACTGCTAGCGGGAGCGCTCCGCTCGACGGGCCGCAGATCCGGCGACTCATGAAGGACCCAAACTTCATCGAATCGATGAACCCGGAGGAAGCCGCCGCCTGGGAATCCTTCGTCTCAGTCGCCACGAACTTCTTGGGGAACTCGAGAGCTTCCAACTTGGACGTGGAGTTGGTGCAGAGACTTCTAGAAAGCTTCCGCATTCTCGGATGTAGAATGAGTATCAAGGTTCATTATCTCCTCGCCCACCTTAATCACTTCCCTGAGAATTTAGGGTCAATGAGCGACGAGCAAGGCGAAAGGTTCCATCAAGACATCGGCACCATGGAGGAGCGATTCCAAGGGAGGTGGGATGAGTCCATGATGGCAGACTATTGCTGGAACCTCATGAGGGAAGCCCCTGATCGACCACATTCCAGACAATCGCTCACGGCTCGATTTGATGCGGATTGATCGACCTCGCTGCTTGTACAGAAGATTCCAACGGCCCAACGGTCGAAG